AAGCAATCAGAAACCAATAATTATTTATTCTCCAAGTGATAAAACTTATAATAAACTATCGTAAATATAATAAAATAATCGTCACGACAGGGATACAATAAAAAAGTAAGACTCTAACAGAATTTGCATTTCTTAACTGTGCGTCCGCTATGAAAGCCAAAGGAAAAAGTATGATCTTGCAGGCAGTCTAAACATATGTATGCGTACATATATGTATACAGTGTTCTGTCGAACTACGCGTAGGTTAGAGACGTCGACTGCTGCGTAGATGGAAATCCGCGTAGTTGGGAACCATTCCCCGAACGCTGCGTGTCAATTGTCGCATATTGTCGTTAGAATAATAACAAACGAAGTAGGTCGTGTGTAAAGACTTAGTTGTTTACTAAGAGACAGTGTTTTTCCAGAAAAGGATAGAATATGTATATGTCTCGGGGAGACAACAGTAAAAAAACTAATTTGTTGTTGTTTCATAGCTATAACACATCTTATTACAAGAAAAATAAACTTAGGATACGATAAAACGCAATTGTTGCAGTAATTAATCTAATTAGCTATACGTAGGCTCTCCTCTCTTTCCAATTAACTCAATCATTCGATTGGTACGTATATATACATACATACATATTATTCACGCACACACATACCGTGAAACTGTAGCTGTATAGCTCGCAGAGCACGCTTCTCGTTTGATTTTTCTCCCAAGCTGAGCTGTTCGTTGTGTACTGGAATTCGGTGCTCTAGCCTCTTGCATGTAGCGGCACTTAATTCACGCGAACGAATATGCTAAGTACGTAAATTGATTGGAAATCCGCGTATAATTGAAAACGCGTTGTTCGAGCGAGCACTGTATTCCCTACAAGATTGTAATCGCGCAGTATAAGCGACGTTCGTCGTTCGTCGAGGCACTCGTTCTACAGCCTCGTAAACACCGACTGAGGACGAGTCGTCCTGTCCAATTTCTGATCTCTATTTGCGCGCAGCTACCCTAACAAGAAACATCGGGACTGAGTCACCCTCTTGTCACATAACATTGCGAGAGACTCGTGATATCTTTTCCGAAAAAAACATAAGAAACGCGAGCCTGGGTCGCTGTACGTACATCGAGCTAAACATAAAGCTAGCTGTCTGTTCGCGCACAGAAAAGAGTTAGTGGGAAACAAATGTTCTGATTTTATATTACTTTTATTGGCAAAACCGAGAACAAACGCCATGCACGTGGTCTTAATACAATACAATACGCCATACTTTTTTTCGCTCGACGCATGCGCGGTCTCCGCTCCCAACGCCGCTCGGCGGATGCACGCCGATCACGGTAAAAAGACGCGCCACTTTTAAATTCAAACCGTTACACTGTCCTTTTGAGAGTAAAACTCGCGAGTTGCTCCCGAGAGTATCTCTCACGAGTATCTCTCTGAGAGTTAAGACTCGAATAAATAGTTGCTTTGCAAGCACGAAGCAGTTTCGTATTCTTGACAGAACTCTCCTGCGAGCAAAAAATGTCAAGAAAAAAAATTAGTGGAGAAATGAAATCACCGATTTAATCACTCTCCATGAAGAAAAATCAGTGCTGTGGAATACGAAAGATAAAGTATAAAGGAGTGATTTTTATGCTTTTTCACCGTAAAATAAAAACGCTCTATGAAGAAAAATCAGTGTTGTGGAATACGAAAGATAAAGTATAAAGGAGTGATTTTTATGCTTTTTCACCGTAAAATAAAAACAACTGTGCAAAGCAACTGTTTATTCGAGTTGTAACTCTCAGAGAATTGAGCGATGCTCTCAGCCAGTCACTCTCAGACGCAGAGTCCACTCGCGAGAGATACTCTCGAGAGCAACTCGCGATAGTTTCACTCTCAAAAGGACAGCTAGCTTTATGTTTACCTCGATGTACGTACAGCGACCTAGGCTCGCGTTTCTTATGTTTGGCACGCAAGAAATATCACGAGTTCTAAGAAGTTAAGGCCTAGAATTTTTCCCGGAACAGTTGCGAGCGTACAGCGATCAGAAATCGGGCAGGACGACTCGTCCTCAGTCGGTGTTTACCAGGCAGTCGAACGAGTGCCTCGACGAACGACGAACGTCGTTTACACTGCGCGATTATAGTCTTGTAGGGAATACATCGAACAACGCGTTTTCGATTATACTTAGCATATTTGTTCGTGTGAATTAAGTGCCACTGCATACAAGAAGCTAGTACACCGAATTCAAGTACACAACGAACAGCTCAGCTTGGGAGAAAAATCAAGCGAGAAGCGTGTCTCTGCGAGCTACACAGCTACAGTTTCACGGTATGTGTATGCGTGAATAATATGTATATACGTACACCATCGAATGATTGAGTTAATTGAAAATAGAGGAGAGCGTACGTATAGCTAATTAGATTAATTACTGCAACAATTGCGTTTTATCGTATCCTAAATTTATTTTTCTTGTAATAAGATGTGTTCTAGCTATGAAACAACAGCAAATTAGTTTTTTTTACTGTTGTCTCCCCGAAACATATACATATTCTATCCTTTCTGGAAAAACACTGTCTCTTAGTAAACAACTAAGTCTTTACACACGACCTACTTCGTTTGTTATTATTCTAACGACAATATACGACAATTGGCACGCAGTGCAGATGATCAGATTTCAGTTTTCCGTAAAACCGGGGGATGGTTCCCAACTACGCGGATTTCCATCTACGCAGCAGTCGACGTCTCTAACCTACGCGTAGTTCGACAGAACACTGTATACATATATGTACGCATGCATATGTTTAGACTGCTGCAAGATCATACTTTTTCCTCTGGCTTTCATAGCGGACGCACAGTTAAGAAATGCAAATTCTGTTAGA